GTGTTCTTCTTGTTCTTCTTTTTTTTCTCCTTGTTCTTCTTGTTCTTCTAGTTGTTCTTCTTGTCCTTAGTGTCCTTCTTGTTCTTCTTGTTCTTCTTGTCCTTCTTGTCCTTCTTGTTCTATCTTGTTCTTCTACTTTCTAGTTGTTTGACTTCTTTTATTTTTTTTACTATTGATTCACTAGAACCTAGTCTTCTGTTCCCTTTTAACGGTTCTTTGTGGTGCGTCCGCTGGCCTCATGATCGTGTACGCGGAGAATGAACACCAGAGCTTGTTTTACAAGATTAACTATCCMACATGGAGAAGGTATACCGGACTTCGTATCTCAGCAATTGTAAGTGTGAAACTATTGAAACTTTAAAGCTTTTTTCATTTGTATTTGYAGTATGTTCGTTTCTTATGCTATAGCGTGAGAGAAGATTAAAGGGYCAAGATCAACCAGCATTCAATGCGGTCGTATTTTAGATTTTTCATATATGGAAAAAGAGGCTCTATTTTATTCAGTAAAAGCCTGTGCAAACGAAAAGAGATCTTCGAGTATAGAAAACAATGAAAATTTTGAAATCTCACGATTTTTATCTAAAATTTTGAATATTTTACACACAATTGAGGCTAACACGCGGTGTAAAATAGATCGAGAAACTCAACTAGTTCTCGACCTAATTCAGTCCAGTACCCTTTTATGATATTTGTAATGATCTAAAACTTGTTTATTGTCTATTTTGCAGACCTTTGGTTTTGTCTCGAGTGTCTTCTATTCGATGGATGCAGTTTTCCAGTTCATAGAGCTTTCTTGAGCGCATGTCCTTTGGCTCGGAATTTCAATCTATTCGACTTTAAAGCTCGACTCAAACKTCGAACTTCACATATGCTGAAGTCAATGCAAATGAGATCACGATGAGTAGAAAGCCACTGAAATAGATTAAAAGTAATAAGCATTGGAGTTGGTACTTGTGAAATACGACGTTTTTGATCTATCAGAAGTTAGCGTCATTGCATTCTAAAAATGCCAATCCTGTCGTGCGTAATAATTAGGATTCAGGCATGATCTCTGAAGACAAAGACTATGGCATAGAGTAGCAAATAATCCTCGGGTTACTACAACCTCTAAGTCTAAGGCGATGGTGAAACGATTCTGAAACCTAAATTGTATTAAATATGTGAGTTYCAGTTATGAGACAAAATCTATTGGAATATATAGACACAAAAGATGAAACAATCAACAGACAAAGCTCARCAGTTAAAAACATTGGACAAAAAGGACTGCATGGCGAAAATCTTAACAAATCAATTAATCAAAGTTTTTTCTTCATTGTTTCATCGGCGCCTATTCAGACAATACTYTTGTCATTAGATTTCATATTCATTAAGTCACATGTGACTATATCTTCGAGATCATAAAATCTATGGAATTKGCGGGGTTTACGCTCGAATGAGAAGCCAGAGTAAACATCGTAAGTGAAAAGTCGTGACACAACAACTTGTTTTGGCCGGAGCCCACCAAAAAAAACACAAACGAACATTGAAAACTTGTAACAATTAATTTATCTGAGGTGAATTAAAACGAAAGTAAATCAAGAAGACAACAAAAAGTGTGTGCCCAAAATGAGTAAATAATAAACATTATGCAAACATTATTAATGACATGATTCACTCTTGCTCAACCAATCAAAGAGCTTTCGACAAGTCATGCATTAATGACAAYGATGCATTCGAATTATCGCGATAAAAATTCATATAATCACGATATTACTCACAACTAGGAGTGGCTGAGGTGTTTTCACGCGAGATTTTGCTACCTTCGGCATTTTTTGAGCGGATTTTGCTACATTTAGGAAAGGTAAGTAATCTCGTATGTGTGTGCACTGTAAGCAACTGCTGTCGAGATAAAAAACAACACTTGTTCTTTTTTACCAATTTTAATTTATCTACCTGTATAATAACTATGACTTAAATATYGTTAGCAATTGCAACGTGGTCTTTTTGCAAAGGAAACTATTAAAAAACGCACACACGTTACTAGAAACAAGCACTGTGATTGGGCTTACTATAAAGACTGGAATCTAAGGTTCTAGTGTAAATTATTTGCTTTTCCCGAGTGTTTCCACCCAATGTTAAGCTATGAATATAAAACAACAAGGCACTAATATTCAATTTAAAAGTAAGAATCAAAATGTGTGAAAGAAAATCTAGTTTCCAAGGCGTATAATTAAATAGATAAAAAAACGTAATTGGAGGCTACCAAGGTGTATTCAGTGTAAACTAATACCAATCGCACCCACGTCTAAACGTATAGACGAAAGAAAACTTTAGAGTTTAGCTTCGACGAGTTTCATTTCCTTCGCCTGAATTAAAAACAGTCAAAGYTTAAATCCAAAACTAAACGATCTTTTTCCTTTAAGACGACGTAGAAATCAATCCAAACATGATTTATCATATCAACAAAAGCGAATAGGCAAACAGACGCACAAAACGATACAATGGCCTTAAGCAATCTCACGGGTTTAGTGACTTCACTCTGTTGAGTTCGACGTGGTACACGAACATATCAACCAAGTAGTTAAGCTCTATCACATCAAAGATCTATCGAGACATAATATATTATTAAAAATGAACTAGATTCCAAACCATCCACCCGATATGCTGCCACTGCAGTTTTTCAATTTTCACATTCATAAGAAAGTTATAGAATAATTGGGTAAATTTTCTAAGAGTAGTCCGCCGACCTTCTGTGCTCTCTCTGTCTCATACATACGAATTTTTTTTGCAATACTGGAAATTTAAAGCATGCATCTTTAATAGTTTTCTAGTCATCATTCCAAAACGTTGTCATTGATAGTGATGATTATTATTTTTAGCTATTAAACATCATTATTAATTTATTACCAGGTAATTTCGCTGCATCTTTAAAGTTGATGTTGATCTCGATTCCTTAATGTTTTTACGCTTGTTGAAAATCTGCGTAATGTAAATTTGAGCTGGCATTGCGTGACTGAACACCTTCCAAGATGCTCTAATGGTGTTCAGTCACGCAAGAGCAGAGAGAACATTCTAGGGTCACGGTTCATGAAAGCAGCGTTATACAACATTAGATTAGAATAGATTATTCATCGTGGAATGCGAAGCAGCTAAAATATGTCACTGCTTACTGAAAGCACAATTTAAT